CAGATGCACATGGACCACCCGACCTGAGTGATTGTTTTTAAACTCAATCTCACTATCCACTAATGGAGGAGGAGGAGGAGGAGGAGGAGGGGAGGGGAGGAAGGAGAATTAGTGGCGGGAGGAGGAGGTAAAAAAAAGGGTTTGAAACTTTTTTTTTTTTTTGGGATAAGGTAAGAATTAAATAAATGAGACAAAATCAATGTATAAATATATGAGGGGTATACCCCAAGTGAAGACAACAAGTCTTAATCAAAATATGGAAACATCCACAAACGGCACAAAAAGAGCACGCAGACTTCTCACAAAAAACTAATCAGGTAAGTGCCATATCGAACAAAGCTGGGTTGAGATCTCATACTTGGGCTCTAAACCCAACACCTTGGCTATAGCTGACACAATGTCTCTGTGAGAGCTATAATGCTAATGGAACACACGATATTCCGTTCATGCCGTAGAAAATAAACTGTATCTTAAAGGATTAACCGCGAAACTTACATCAAAGTTTAGGACAAAATTCACCTACCATGAGATCAAATACGATGCATAAATATATTAATGATCATTAAAGCATGCGAATTATAAATGATTATGAAACAAGAAATAGCACTTACAGTATCTAGCTCTAAATCTGCCAATATCATTGCTTCAGTTAGTGGCTACACAACAAAAAATTAAAGAAAACAAATGATCTTTAAGACTTAAAGCAAAGAAGGAGAACTATGAAGCAAAGTGATTCATGAGAATAAACAATTATGTTTTTGAATAATCAATCTACGGAGAAAGGTTGAAGCATTGTTTCTCTAAGGATAATTGGAGGTAAGTCGTGGTTTGAGGAAATTATTAACCATTTAAGGCTTTTAAGTATTAGCAGCAATATCATAAAGCACATATTAAAAGCCAACACTTAGCACCTTAAACCTAATTATCTTCTGTTGTTCCAACCACAATCACCATATTCTAGCCTAATTGTTGAGATCTAACTGCCTTACAACTACTCCGCTATGTCACAATTTATCAAATCACGCATTATTTCAGTTAAAGAAAAACATCTTTAGTTAAGAAAATTCATCCAAATATAATAGCTTTAGTTCAAATGAGAATTAACTTATAATACATACATCCAGTCTGCACCTAACATAATACACGTACGTAGGATTTGCATCCATTGAAATTAATGGATGACTTATAGAGAACCCGTGCAAGAAAGATCATGTGGTGAATTTCACATAAATGAGAGAAGGGAGTAACATTTTCTCTCATTTTACCTGTGCCATTCGAACAAAGGAATCAACCACGGTATTTGTTCCATGTGGATGGTATCTAGCCATGACTTGGAACCAAAGAACAAAAACTTATTAATAATTAAAAGAATGCAAGTGAAATAATGATAGCAAGATCAACAATAGCCTGTAATGTAAATAAGGCATGTCAGTTCACTAGTACTAACTCTAACCTCCGCAGCAACTAAATAATAATTTTCACAAGGTTTTTCGAAGAAAGGCCCAACCCATGCATTTTAAATCTATGGCAAAATTCAGAAAAAAAAAAAAAATTAACATTGTAGGATCAAAATCAGTCACATATATAAGTTAGTAAGCCACTACTTACAATATCCTCCTATGTATAGGCACTACCCCGTTTCTAATGTTAGGCAACAATTGGTGAAAAACGGATATAGTGTAGGATGTATAAGATCTAATAATCTCGTCACCCAGATCCACACGAACCGCTCGACTCGAGTGATTGTTTTCAGACTCAATGTCACTATCCTCGAATAATGGAGGAGGAGGAGGAGGAGGGGGGGAGGGGAGGGGAGGAAGTTGAATAAGCGACGGGAGGAGGAGGAAAGAGAATAAGCGACACGTGGGGAGTTTCACACCCAAAAGGGTAGCCTATTAGGTGGAAGGACTCACCCCCTTATAAACCCAAGATGACACCCCCCCTCTCCCCCCCAAAAAAAATCCCTTTCAATGTAAGATGTGTTACACACCCTTGTCACAAGTGGGGCCTCTTGCCTACTCGTCCCCCTCAGCCTCTAATGGACTCACAATCACACATAGGGCTACAAACGAACAGAACAGTTCGCAAACAACTCGTTGTTCGTTCGATAACAGTTCGATAATGTTCGCGAACAGTTCGATATTCATTCAATAATATGTTTAATCGAGTTCAAACAGGGGTTATTCGTTTGATTATATTCGTGAACATTATACGTTCGATTGATCCATCCGTTCGCGAACAATCATTCGATTGTTCATTTGTTTATGTTTGAAAAACATGGTATGCATTATTATAATTTATATTTTTTTTTCATTTTTATATTATGTTTGATTTATTTTGGATGAATTTTTTTTAATGGTAATCAATAATAAAATATTATGATACTTTTGTTTTTCTTATATATATTATATGTTTGGATTTTTTTTTCCAAATGTCATCAATAATTAAATATATAAGTATATAGCATTTTAATTAAAAAATAATAAATTATTATGATACATAGCATGACAAATTTAATACATAATAGATTGTATAATCAAGTGATATATAATATAGTAAATCTAATAACATAATAGCTTCATATTTTTCCAAATGTAATCAATAATTAAATATTATAAGATAACATTTCAATTAATAAATAATAAATATAGTAGGATAAATTGATAAACATAACATATTGTATAATCAAGTGATGTATAACATAACAAATTTAATAATATAATAGCTAAGTTAGATATAGTATGGTAAATTGATGAACATAACATATTGTATAATTAAGTGATATATAGCATGACAAATTTAATAATATAATAACTTAATTAAATATAATATGACAAATTTATGAACATAACATATTGTATAATCAAGTGATGTATAGCATAACAAATTTAATAACTTAATTAAACCTAAATTAATCACACATTTGTATTGATCATATATTACAATAAACTCTCATACCACTATGAATTTATAAGTGTTGATACAAAATATATATGTAGACAGTAATGATAATATATATATATATATAAAACAAATTAATCACACATATGTATTGATCATATATTACAATAGGCCATCATTTCACTATAAATTTATGGGTGTTGATACAAAATATATATATAAAACAAATTAATCACACATATGTATTGATCATATATTACAATAGACTTTCATTCCATTATAAATTTATGGGTGTCAAGGCCGACTTAAGGGGTAGGCAGGTGAGGCACCTGCCTAAGGCCCCAAAAAAATGGGGGCCTAAATTTTTTATAATTTTTTTTTTTTAAATATCTTACAAAAATGAAAATGGTTTATAATTTCTTATCTAAGCTAAGGGCCCCCCCAAAAAAAAGCCAAAAAAGCCCAAATTTATTATAAACTTTTTACATATATTTCCACCCAAAGTTTAATAAAATAGCAAGTTTGTACCTTTAGTTTTATATATTCTAGTTTATACCCCTAAATTAACACATTGAATCTCTTTTAACAATGGAAGACTAAAATAGTTATTTACATATCTCAAATTACTCATCCCCAATTCAATCCCAAAATTTGATATTCACATAAATCATCTCCAGCCCTCTTCTGCCGCCAGTGGTTTAGAGTTGATTTTGGTCAATTTTGGTTCCGGTCGATTTTCTCACCAAAATCGACCAAAATCATCATTTTATCATTTCCCAAACTTGATAGCCCTCGATTTGACTAATTTTTGATGAATCTCGCAACCCAACTCCACCACACGACAGCCATTTCCAGCCTTTTTGTCATGTACCCGACATTGTTGGCCTTCCCCGACACCACCATCTTCCTCCCCTCAGCCCTCTCACCAAAACCCCTATCATACCTTATCCGTTTACTTTGCCAATCGTCAGCCATCGATACATTTTGGGCCGTGACTTCTCAAGCCTTTTCTTATCAATCTTGGCTTTGGAAATCACCCATTTCACCACCCATCACTTCTCCAACATCTACTCTCCAAAACCTCCCACCAACCTAACCTTGTTAGCCTACCGATTGTTGTCCACCTCTCCTAGTGATTTTTCATCTCAAAAGGAAAAAAAAAAAAAAAAAATGAAATAATTTTTTTAATATATGCTTATATTATTAGAGGGCCCCAAAGTAACTATTGCCTAGGGTCACAAATATTCTAGAGATGGCCCTGATGGGTGTTGATACAAAATATATATTTAAACATTTAAAATATTTATGATAATTTATATAGTGATAATAAATATATGATAACCTATAATTTTGGTAATTTCATAATATATTTAACCTATGATTAATATATGTATGATAATAATTTTGTACATACACAATTATATTTTTTGAAAATCCAAAGTCCAAACCCACATTTTCCCAGCCCAAATTTTAAAAATCCAAAGTCCAAACCCACATTTTCCCTTACCTGGCCCAAAGTCCAAATCCCCAATTCTACCTTTTTCCTTTCCCTAATTGCGACAACCTCAAGCCCTTCCTCAAACACTCACATCACAGATTCGCAGTTCACACTTCAGTCTTCACAGCTTTAATTTTTTCTGCAGTTTTGAGCTTGCTCAACAACAGCCCCAATGCCTCAACAGTCAACACTCAGCAGTTAGGCGGGAATAAGATAATCAAACAAATAGAGACAGAGTATAAAGGACTAAAGGAGAGAGATTTCAGTTTTAATTCGCAAACTCAGATTCAAAGAAGCTGCAATTGATTCTCGTAAGTTATTTCACTTTCTGTTTTCATGAATCACTGTTTGGCTCTTGAGAAAAGTCCATATTCGTTTAATTTCGCTCATTTTACTCTGGAACAAACAGATCCATATATTTTTTTGTTAAAATTTGATGCATATATTTTATTAAATTTACAAACACACTTGTTTATTTAGTGGCTTACTTGATTTGACCAACTATAAGACAGACAAGGAAATGTATATAGTAAAAGCCTGTTCTGAATCTTCCTTTCTTTGTCTAAACTTATTGTTTTGTATTAAGAATTGCTTGTAGAAGGATGATTCAAACAGAAGTTAATTACTCATAACTTTGCCATTTGTTGACTGAAAATTGGATCTACACAAACAACCACCTTCAAATTTTCATTAAAGTAACAAACACATAAGTTAGCAACAGAAGGTTGCCGACGCTTTTAATAAAAAGAAGGTAGACATAGAAATAAGTACAGTACATACCTTGCCGACACTTTTACCAAAATGAAGATATTCAACTGCATCTGCTATAGAATCAAGACCTATAAACCTTTTTGGGTCTACAGAAACCTGTAACAATTATACATAAACAACTGAGACACTCAGACCACTTTTTTCGACCATAATACTCTTTAATGGAAAGCTAACACTTGCAGTGACTACTACAAAGAGGACAGCTTGAAGATAGGTCCATAAAACACAAGCCATTTACATCTAACATATATAACATTTATGCTACTGCAATATGATAAATACAAATATTATTTCTTGTATCAGTCTACAGAAACTAAAGGAGATTCAGAGGCAAAAGAAATCAACGCAGCACTGTGACATCTAGATCAAGTCGAGAAGGCCGAGAAGAGGGTGTTTCGCTTGTGCATTTTCAACATCCATTGCTTCTGGAAGGTATTAAATTTTATTTCGAAATCATTTTCCAATTCTTGTGTTATCATCAGCTTAAGTGTTGTAAATCATTTCAATTTGTGAATTCTTTCTCTCATGATATAAATATCAGTGAAATAATGGAAGGCTCCATCGAAGCCCCAACCATAAGGGAGTCAAATATAATTAGTTCTAACTCGGTTACTCAAGAAACAAGTCAAGAACAAGAGGAGGCCCAGGGGGGTGATGTTAACGCATTTGGAAGGAAGAAAAGGGCAAAGAAATCGGTGGTGTGGGATGATTTCAAAAAGGTGTTACAACTGCCCGACGAAAAGGTAAAGACACAATGCATTCATTGTAAGGTAATCTATGTGCTACCGAAGACGAGGCCCACTACTCAACTTAAACGACATTCAGAGGAATGTTCAGAAAAAGGCTTAACGAAAGGCGAGTTAGTGGTGGACAACAATTTTTCCAGCCAAGTTCAAGTTGTGGTGACTCACAACCCCCTGTTCTTTGGGATGACAAATTTGATATGGCAAGGATGAGGGAAAGAGCTGCGCAGTGGGTCATGATGCATGACCATCCTTTTACCATTGTGGAGGAAGAAGGTTTCAATCTAATGCAAAAAACTAGGATGCCTGAGTGGGAAAAAATAATGCGCATAACAAATAAAAAAGATTGTGTGTCTGTGTTTGAGATTGAGAAGAAGAAGTTAATGAATGTTTTGAAGAATGTCAACAAGATAAGCTTGATGATAGATTTATGGAAGTCAAGTAACCAGAATATAGAATATATGGTTATAACTGGACATTTTATTGATGGTAATTGGAGGTTGCAGAAAATGGTATTGAGCTTTGTACATATTGATCCTCCTCACACGGGTGTTCAAGTTGTTGATTCGGTGTACAAATGTTTAAAGGAATGAGGTATTGAAAACAAGGTGTTCACTATCTTTGTCAATAACGCTTCCAGTAATGATGTAGCAATCAAAACATTAAGAGAGAATTTTTCAGTAACCAGGCGGTTGGTTTGTGGAGGGAAGCTATTCCATGTGCGGTGTTGTACACATATCTTGAATCTTTTGGTTCAAGATGGCCTTTCTAAAATTAAGGATATTGTTAAAAAAATCCATGACAATATGTGGTACATCAACCAATCGGAGAGCAGGGTCTAAATTTTCTCATAGATTGTGCAGCAGCTACAGTTGCCTAGTCGAAAGTTGATTTTAGATTGTAAAACAAGATGGAATTCGACGTATGAGATGATGGTAACTGCACTACAATTTAAAAATGTGTTTTCGAGATTCACAAACAGAGACTCTAGGTTTATATATTCTCCTAATGACGAGGATTGGGAGAAAGTTCAGAAGGTATGTGATATTTTGGGAGTTTTTAGTACGGTGACCAATTTAATCTCTGGGAGTGATTACCCTACTTCTAATATATTTTTAAATGAGGTTTTCCGGATAAAAAAAAAAAATGCTTGATAAAAAGGCAACAAAGGAAAATGAATTCATTCGAGTTATGGTGAAAAAGATGAAAGAGAAGTTTGATAAATATTGGGGTGAATGTAATTTGTTGATGTCGATTGCCGCTATCTTGGATCCGAGATATAAAATGAAGGTGATTGAAGTTTCTTTCCCTAGACTGTATCTTGAGTTTGAAGCACGAGCAAATATCGCCAAAGTACAGGATGCATTGTATGAGTTGTACAGGGAATATGTGGACGAATTCCACTCTTCCATCAATGAAGAAAATGTTAGAATGAACATGTCTACTTAGATGAATGTAGGAATCGGAGCTCCTACTTATGGGGAATTTGATTTAGAACATTATCTTATTGAGGATGAAGATATTCATTCAGAAAAGTCTGAGTTAGATTGTTATTTGCAGGAGTCACATTATGTTTGTCAACCAGGTCCAAACACATTTGATGCACTAGTGTGGTGGAAGGCGAACAGCATGAAGCATAAGATTTTATCTAGGATGGCTCGTGATATACTAGCCATTCCTATAACCACGGTGGCTTCGGAGGCGACTTTCAGTGTTGGTGGCAGAGTTATTGACCCTTATCAATCATCATTGTCTTCAATAACTGTAGAAGTGCTACTTTGTGGTAGAGATTGGTGTCGCAATCTCGGAGTAAAGAAAAAGAGCAAAGTAAGATCCATGTTTTTAAGTTATATAAGTGTTTAATTATTTTAATGGTTTGATGTTTATTCTAACTTAATTTTTTTTCTTTGTGTATTTTAGACAGAGGAGAAATTGGAGATTGATCTTTCCATCGATTGAATCATGTACATTGATATATGATTACTTTTTCAAGTGTAGCCATATTTAAAATCAGTCTATTATTACTAATGATTTTCAATTTTTTTTTCTTTTGTAGGTTCACACTATATACTATATAGTGGCATGTTCACTCCTTGGAATCTTTTTGGTTGTGCTGTAATGTCTATGCAAAATGCAAATTCCTTTTGTTTGTGTCATGTTTGATATGGAACCAAATTTGTTTTGAATGATTTATTGTTCTGTTTAATTTATTTTGAAGTTTTATTATTTATGATGGTTATTTATTTTAATTTACTGAGTTTTTATTGATTTATTTAAAATATAAATATAGATAGGGAGTTGGTTTATTTTCAAATGTTGAATTAAATGGGTATGAATTATAAATTGTTGTATATATATATATTTTTTTTAAGTATGAATTAGAAAGTTGGTGTATATTTTTTATTCGAACAGGTATTCGAACGAGTTATTCGAATAGGTATTTACAAGTTATCGAACGAGTTATTCGAACAGGTATTTACGAGTTAGTCGAACGAACACGAATAGACATCTTGTGTTTGTTCAAGTTTAAACACAAAATCGAACATGCTTATCGAACGAGTTTCAAACAGGCCTGTTCGTTCGTGTTCGGTTCGATTGCAGGCCTAATCACACATTGACACTCTTTTGTGTGGACGCTTCGTGGACACCAAAAAATAGATCTCGGTAGGCTCTGATACCACTTGTTACGGGCTAAGAGTTTCACACCCAAACGGCTAACCTATTAGGTGGAAGGACTCTACCCTTATAAACCCAAGACCCCCCATTTCCGTTTCAATATGGGACGTGTCACACTTGTCATGCTATATCTCTTTGTAACTTTGACATTATTCTTGGAGATTGATTAATTAAAAAAATTAGAATAAATAGAGATGGTTTGGTAGTGGTGGAGCAATAGGAGGAAGAGGTGGAGTTGGTGATGGTGGTGGTTTTGGCCACGATGGAAACTAAGAAGAGAAAAAAAGAAAGAAGAGGTGGGGTCGGAAACCAAGAAGGGGCAAAAAATGGGCTAAAAAAAAGGTTGATTCCCTAAGTACCTTGTCTAATAGGCAGCTCCCAAAACGGTATAAAATAAGGATTGCACTATCTTTGGATTAGATATAATCAACTTTATTTGTTGTAAGTGGGATAAGCCTCTGAGCTACTATGATGGCATAAACGAGTCGTAGAAGACGTTGAATCAACGCCCCGCTAAGGTAGATCAAGACAGAAGGGCTTACATCAATGAAAGTCGATGGTTTTGCACCCATAATGAATGAAATAGAATAGTCTATCTAATACTAGATGAACTAAACAGAGAGCCTAATAAAGCAGACAACTCGGACGGACTTATGACTTATTAGTAGACTCAAGCGAATGACCCAACAGTTAGTCCTTATAAAACAAACAGAACTTGAAGGAAGACTAAAACATCTAGAAAGCAGTAGATCTACGACCAGCCTATATTCCCCTAGCAAGAGGAGCTACTATAAAGAGATGGCTAGATCTAATCTATTATTGGATCTATCCTAGCTGGTTATAAAAAGAAAGTTCACTTCACAACAAGGAGTAAGTCTTAGGTATTCCATTCACAAACCAACCGTGTGAAATCCCTACTCCCCAAGGAAAAAAGATGAGCTACAAGAAAATCTATTAGAAATTATCCCTAGACATTTGAAACCTTGTCCACTCTCCTCCCTAAAAAGAGAAGACATTTACATAGCCTAGCTTTCTACTAGGAACTCCAACTACTACCAATCATATGTAAAATCCTAAAGGTAGGAAAAAGAAGGCTACTTATTAGGCATTAAAATGGGAGCTAAGACCTTGATTTAGTGATAGAAATATAGCAAGGAGAAGACAATATGAAAACAAGAAGATTGTCTGATAGATAGATGTAAGGGAAGAAAGAAGATGGAAGTTAGGACACTAAGAATAATGATACCTAGGATCAAAACCGCATAAATAAGTTAGTAAGCACTACTTAAAAGATTCTCCTATGTATTGAGCTATTGACATTAACCCATCTCTAACATATATCAAGTAAAACTCGATGCAGAATGGATGTAATGTATGAAGTATATTAGCTAATCAGCTCGTCGACCATGTCCACATGAACCACCCAATCTGGTTGATTGTTTTCAAACTCAACGTCGCTACCATCGAATAGAAGAGGAGGAGGACGAGGAAGAGGAGGAGAGGGGAGGGAAGGAAGGAGAATAAATGGCAGGAGGAGGGGGTAAGAAAGAGAGAGTGACGATGGTGGTGGGGCGAAGGAAGACGGAGGAGAAACGCATTACAGAAGAAAAGATTGCGTAGTAATTATGGTGGTCGTTCGTTAGAAGACACTGTTAGGGTTTGTAAAATTTGGGATAGGACAAATTGAAATTTCGAGAATTTTTTTTCTCTTATTTTTCATTTGAGTGAGGCTCACGTTAACGTCTTTGTTCATTCTTGCTTAGGCAGGCACACGTTAGCTGAATCTGGCTCACATTAGCCCAACAAGGAGTTCACTTCACAACACTGAACAAGTTTCAGGTATTCCATTCACGAACCAACCGTCTAAAATCCCTACTCCCAAAGGAAAGAAGAGGAACTGCAAGAAAATCAATTAGAAGATGTCCATAGACATTTGAAACCTTGCCTGCTCTTATCCCTAAAAAGAAATGACAATTCTATAGCCTAGGTTCCTACTAGCAACTCCAATTACTACTAGACATAAGTAACATCCTCAAGGTAGGAAAAATAAGGCTACTTATCAGGCATTCATATGGGAGCTAACACCTCTATTTAGTGATAGAAAGATAGCAGGGACAAGACAATATGAAAACAAGAAGATTGTCTAATAGATAGATGTAAGGGAAGAAAGAAGATGGAACTCAGGACGTTAAGAATAATGATACCTAGGATCAAAACCGCATAAATAAGTTAGTAAACACTACTTACAAGATTCTCCTATGTATTGGCATTAACCCGTCTCTAACATCAAGTAAAACCCAATGTAAAATGGATGTAGTGTATGAAGGATATGAGCTATTCAACTCGTCGACCATGTCCACACGAACCATCCAATTCGGTTCATTTTTTTTAGACTCAACATCACTATCATCAGATGGAGGAGAAGGAGTAGGAGGAGGAGAGGGGAGGGAAGAAAGGAAGGAGAATAAGTAGCGGGAGGAAAGGAAAGAAAGAGGGAGTAATGGTGGTCGTGTGGGCAAAGGAAGACGAAGGAGCAACGCATTGCAGAAGAAAAGATTGCGCAATAATTATGGTGGTCGTCCGTTAGAAGGTGTTGTTAGGGTTTGTAAAATTCGGGACAAGGCAAATTGAAATTACGAGAATTTTTTTTGTCTTTTTTTTTTCATTTGAGCTCGGCTCAGGTTAGCGTCCTTGTTCCTTTTGGCTTAGGCAGGGTTACGTTAGCCCAACAAGGAATTCATTTCACAACAGGGAGCAAGTCTTAGGTATTCCATTCACAAACCAATCGTGTGAAATCCCTAATCCCAAAGGAAAGAAGAGGAGTTACAAGAAAATCTATTAAAAACTGTCCCTAGACATTTGAAACCTTGCTCGCTCTCTTCCCTAAAAAGAGAAGACAATTCAATAGTCTAGCTTC